GGTTTGGTTAGGATATTACTGATGTAAATTAATGGAAAATTATTCATATGATGCATGCGGAATTTATTGATTTGTTGGTGAAGATGTTTCATTCAGACTGCTTATGTCATTCATGCTGTTGAAATTTCAATGTCTATACCCTAGTTTCCTTTAATCTATTACAACGCTTTAATTTCCCCTGCCTTCTTTGCTTTTACGGAGCCTGAAGATTTTGTTTGTATGTTTTTTTTTTGCTTCATACTGTAAAATCCAAGTCTCTCGCCAGACAGAGTTCATTTTTAACCAAAAAGTCTAGTTCTTCCTAACTAACTAACTAACTAACTCCGTGGAGCTGACCCCTTCTCGAGAGCCCACTAGTCACTCAGCTTCTCAAGAATTTTCCATCTTTATATGGAGCTCGAAGCTCATTTCCACCTTCACAACAGCCGGCTACTGTTCCCTGTCTTGAGCCAGATTTGTCCAGTCAATGTCACTCAATCCTTTCCAAGTTCCATCTTAATATTATCCTCCCTCCTATATGTATGTCTGAGTAGTGATCTCTTTTCTTCTGACTTCCCCACTAAAAGGCTATATACACTCCTCTCCATGCATGCTACATTCCTTCTCCATCACATTCTCTTTGATTTGATTGTTATATTTGGAGCAGAGAACAAGTTACGAAGCTCCTCATTATGCAATTTTCTCTAATATCCCATTATTTCTTCTCTCTCCAGTCCAAAAATTCTCGCCAACACCCTGTTCTCAAACACCCTCAGTCTGTGTTCTTCCCTTAATATTAGAGACCATGTTTCACACCCACAGACACCTAAAGCAAGAACTATCATTTTTAAGTTTTAAAACAGCAGACGAGAAGACAGTAGGCTCTGAAATGAACGATAGCAAGCATTACCCGAATTTTATTTACTCTTTACACCCTCATGAATGAAATATTTTATTTGTTACTGTCGTTCCCAAATATTTAAATCTTATTTTCAAAAGTTCTATTATCCCTTTCTGTGTTTTAATTTTTCCCTTCACCTGATCCCTTCTTAGGAGCCCGGGTAGCGTAGTCGGTACAGCGACTGACTGCGAGCTGGCGACCAAGGGGTCGGAGTTCGAGTCCCGGTAGTGTTAAGAATTTTCTCTTCTCCACGTAGTCCAGACCTGTTCTTGGTTCCACCCAACCTCCTATTCAATGGGTAACGGGGCCTGTTTTCCTGGGGATAAAGCTGCCGAGCCGTGAAACTCACCTCAGCTAGTGCCGAGGTCAAGAAAATGTGGATTTATACGTCCACGCCTCCATACCACTTCATTGTGTAGTGCATAACTAGATAAGCACAGGAACAACTTTACCTTTTTACTTTTTACCTGGCTCCTTCTACAACCTGACATTCCTATGTTCTACGAGTAAATTCTAACAGTATATCGCCAACTTGTTGAAAACTATTAAATCATTACGCCACTTAAACACTTACAGCAACCACAAGAGAAATACTCATATAATTCCAGCGCCTGTCTAATGCAGATTGCAGAATTATATAGCCACGTGACCTAACTGTTCGAAACTAACTGGTTTTGCCACTTTTATGTGAGTAATGTCAGTGTTGCTATTTTTACGTGTCTCACGTTTTTCCGCGATTTTCCTCTCTTGTATGGATGTAGAACATTTACGCGTATTCTGACGTAACATAAATAGAAGATGGAAACCACCGTTTCATCTCTTTCATGCCTTTCTCTTTAGTGAGGAGAAATATAATCGGTACATTGTCACGTGATTTACTGATGGTTCTATCTCCACATTTCGTGGGCTATGGAAGACAAGTTACAACGTCTGAAACGTAAGCAGTGGACACAAGAGAGAAAAAAATTGATGTTTTCTTCTTATTTTTGTCGTGATGTTATTCAATTTAATTGTGGATATACAGCCATTATACCCTAGGAAACTAATTGCTTTTATAGCACGTAAATTAATTAAACCTGGAATCCAAACCATTAAGTTGATGTTATAGTCACTGTAGTGATAAGCTAAATCGATTAAACGAAGTGGCTGAAACACAGCTTGAAGCTCTAAAATGACTAAAAATGAATAATTAAACCTCTTATCACTGAAGAGTAATTACGTGACTGTATATTTCGTGGTTAATTTTTGAAACATAGTACTTTTCTCTTGCTACTTTTGGGCTAATTTATATATTATATGGACTTAATTTTCTTTTATACAAGGCCGTTTATAATCCCCATACAGAGCTTAATTTGTAATGAAATGTTTCCCCAGGGGAGAGGAGCGGTGACGCTGTAGTAGCAGTGTAAGTGCACCGCACCAGTCGCTAAAATGGTTCCGAGGATTTTACGATGAGTTAAAAAAATTCAGGCAAAGTCCACAAAAGCGAGCTTCGAAGGGCTCTTCGGGGAAAGGAAAGGCCGGTAGAGGCAGTTTCTCTTCACATGTAACCAAAATTTCCCTTGTAGTTTAATTGGAAACCAGACAAAACTTACTGGGGCTGTTCTTTTAAAAATAATGAGCAATTATTAAGCTGAAATTATTTTCGTCGCTAGAAGGACCTGTATTTTTGCATAATTTTCATACGTAAACATCTCTAGTATGAGATTGGAAGCGCTTGTAGCACGAATGGGGAAAGGGGGAATGCATTTAGAATATTGGTTGCAAAACCGGAAGGAAGGAGACCATTTGGAAGACCAAGACGTTGGTGGGTGGACAATAATAAAATGGATCTTAGAGAGATCGGATGGGGTGGTATAGATTGGATTAATCTGGCTCAGGATAGGGACTAGTGAAGGTCCCTTGCGACCACGTTAATAAATCTACGGGTTCCTTAAAATGCTGGGAATTTCTTCAGTAGCTGCACAATTGACAACTTCTCAAGAAGGGCTCATCTCTGTGAGTCAGTGAGTGACATCTCTGGTACATGTAACAATGTGTACGAACAGGCTGGCCTAGTTGTAGCGCTCTAGGATTGTATTGGTAGGTCCTCGCTTCGAATTTCGGCCGAGACATAACGCACCCTAACTGACGTTTTTCGTCGTTTTACTTATTCCCTCCAAACAAATTCCGAGAGAGTACCTCGATAATATCATGACTGCTGCCTTTCAGACCCTTTTCAGTTTATCGTGTTTCATTTGTCATTCTGTCGATCACAGTGGCCGCGCAGTCTAATGAACACTGGGATCGTGGGTTCGAATCCCACTTGAGATATGGATGTCTGTGTGCGTTTATTCTGTGTTTGTATTGTTCTTTGTATAGGTAGTGGCCTTACGACGGGCTGAGCTCCCGTCCAAAGGGGTCTGCGGACCGTATGTAGGATTAAGAAACTGAAAAGCGGCCAAAGTCCAAAAAGTGCTGTAGAGCCGTATCAATCTACCATAAGGCTATGCATACTCTCGAAACTGAAAGCGTCATTAAGTGACCTACCAGAGAAAATTTATAATAATAATAATATGACACAGTACCGAATCAGTTTCTATATTTAAACTTATTTGAAATGTAGCAAACAAAAGAATATAAATGACTCCGATATGATATCACAATCCTTTCCTGGTCTAGAACTAATTTTGCCTACACCATAAATACCATAAATGCTACAGCCGTTGCATTAAGTTGGCACATCTACATGGGTGCATACATGATGCGTACGTTGCTGCTGTAGGTAAGACTGGACTCTTATTCCGTCATGTTTAAATTCCATTCTCACCCCTATGTTGGCATAAGCATCGGCCGTGGGGATCCGTTGCGCTGATCACGTGACACCTTCTATCCGCAAAAGTTGGCACTAACTTCGCCGACAAGCGGCGGTCGCTCGGTCGGTATAGTTCGCTTGTGCACTACAGGCCACGGATTCTTTTTTTGTTTTGTAGGCACAGGCATGGGGCCCATATCGGATTTAAGTCTACTCTAAGGTTTTAAATGCATAGCTCAATTAATCTATAAAACGACAGATTAATTAATGAATTTAATTTTGTTACTATAATATTATCTGCGTTCTGCTTTAACATTATGTGAAGTATGAAAGTAAAACTATCCTTAAAATGGATTATTGAAAACCCTACATTTTTGTGCTTAATTTCATGCTTCAGAGGAATAGTTTCTAGGTTGTCCTCTCCACTTCTTCCTTCAAAGTTTGTATTTAGTCGAGGTAATCTTAAATTAGATGTTACCATATATTCCGGTGAACAATTATGTTTTGTGTTAAAGAAAGGTTTACGTATAACCCACTTGTTTAGGTTAATATTCCTTCAGTTAATTAGGTCGTTGTTTGAAAGGAAATGGCGCTTCAATTTAAAGCTTGGAACTTATTAAGTTTTCGGTCTTTCAGGTCCTTCGATATTTGTTTTGGAATCGAATCCTTATTTTCCTTCTCATTAACGATAACACAGCAGGTGGCATATATATAGAAGTCCTTCAACCTGAGCTTGTTCTGAATGTTTTTATATGAAGGAACTCAGGCATTAAGAGTCGAATACTTCATTTTCTACAGAGAAAATCCCCATGAAAGGCAATTAGGTCATATTTCAAAGTACATTAACCACACTCAAACAGTGACAGAAAATGATCCTTGGACAATTCATCTGTTTAACGTTTCATCTCCAATAATTTATCTGAAGATTGATTCCACAATTAGACATCATACAATCTGTATCTCCCAGAGTACGCAGCGCCACAAAGAAAAAGCGGTGACAAGAGTAACTGATACCATGCTATTGGTCCTCTACTCTTCAGTTTATTCCAAAGATATCTTAAGCTGAATACACACGACGCTCATTGATGGACGATCAATAAATATTGTTGGTCACTTCCTTGTTGAATTGAGCCGTGGTTAACAGCGTCATTTAATATTTGCGAACCCTGACAATGTTTCTCGTTATTCAACATCCGATTGAGAGCTGTGTGTGACCTGTGTACAGAATAATGTTTAGCATGGAGACTGCGCAGTGCATTGGCGCAGGTAGTTTGTTTAGGGCAGCAGTTTGTGTGCTGCATGTATACAGATCACTTAGCAAACAAACCTCCTGCAAGAAGCTACTTGTTTTCAGTACTGGGATCATTATTTTGTTACAGGATAAATTCCCATTTTACTGATTCCAGTTTATTGTTATTATAATGACCTTACGCGGGGAAGGAACAAATGTAAGTATATTGTTCATGGAGTTTCATTAACAGATCCAAAAATTTCAGTGGTTCTTCATTCTATGGAAATTAAAACAACTCCAACTGAATGTCTTCGTCTTGCCAACTATGTAGAAGGCACTTTTTCTGGTATACTTAATCAGTGTCAAATTTATATGTTAAGACAATTGTTTTCGTACTAAGCGTAGGGTTGCGGTATTGTTAAAGTTGTGATCCTTTAATAGAAGTTTTTTAAAGAATTAAAATGAAGTTGGTGTGCCATATTTTACTTCCTGATAATAAATTTCGTATGAAAAGAATTTGGAATTTTTTAAATTTTCAAGTGTATTGGCAAATTCGGCTGATCTTGAACAGGGCCTTTATCAGAAGCACTAAAAGCTCACAAGAAACAAACTAAATTTCAGGTGGCAAAAAATTTCTTATGTCTCATGAACTCTTACAGCTAAAGTCATCAGCTGTAAAATGTAAATACTCTCTACAGTGTCTAGAAAATAATTCAATTTGCGTCGGCATCAGATAGCGATGCAAGGAATTAGAAATAATTACAGTTTACCTTCAAAGAGTGGGAACTAAATCGATATACCGGACCTCTCATTGGACACAGAGGACTTTTTCCGCAAAATTGTGTACGCTTAAGTTGTCAGACGGGCAGTAATCATCCCACCCCACCTTTGTGAAGAAGGGAATTCTACACTGATATATAACATCGTGCGCTAGAAGATAACAGGGGCTTTGCACGCAAATTTAACTGTTCCGTTTAAAGGAAAAGTAGAAACATCATCACATCTTTGAGTTCAATAAAGCCATAAACAATACAGTCTAATTTCGGACTTCCTGATATAAATGTGTATATAAGGGGCACGCGATAGCGTAGTTGGTTGAGGCACTATGATACAAGCCTGAAGGTGCGGGTTTGATTCCTGATGAGGTTATTGCATTTTTCAATGTATATAATTTTTCCAGCCATGGGTCGACTCAGCCTCTGAGAGAAATGAGTACCAGGCAACTTCCTGGTTGTAAAGGGCGGCCGGCGCTTGAGTCTGACAACCTCACCGCCATATGTGAGTCGATTTTCCACAGAATGTTGAAGCATCGACGTCTCACAATCCTATGTATCTTGTCGGCCTGTTACAGGGATAGTTTTACCTTTAACTTACCTATATGGTATATATGTACATATGTATATACCTGTGTGTGTGTGTGTGTGTGTGTGTGTGAATTTTGCGTTCCCGCCATAAGCAAGAAGACTTGCAATTGAGCTTCTCGTGTCCGTCTGTACAGAAAACACTCCGCCTTCAAATTATTCATCTGAATTTCAGTTTTCTCGAACATGCTTTGGCATTAGGCTTTAACTTGGTTTCCACTAGTGCCGGAGGACCGGCTGAGAGGCGTATTTAGTAGAATACCCAGAAATCAGGAAGGTCAGTTTCAGTATATTTCTATTAATTGTGAGGTAACCGGGATTATCAGCTTCCGTTAATCAGAGGGTCAGAACCTGTTATTCGCGAATGTTGGTCTGAGTCCAAAGAGCTGATATCTTCGGAACCGATCTACTTGGGCACATAAAGAAATCACTGGGGTCAATTTCCATTCGTTTGTTCGAATTAGAAGATTTTCTTAATTTTCATATTGAACCCCAACATCGAGGCCGAACGTGATTTCCCCGAGATTTGGGTCAACAATAATTAGTTCATATGTGGGTTAATGTACCTTAGTCCACTTTGTAAGAATTCGTGATACGTATATCAGTTTTCAGAAGCGTTATTAGAAAAACAATTCTCTTAACTTTATAGAATTTCAGAGTAAACAGATTTAGTGAAATATTATGGTCCTTCTACTATAGCGATAGATTTCGGTGTAGGGATATTCAATAATTTTTAGTAAGGACGAATAATATACACTACAAACTCTGAGCTCAGAATGTAGCCACGCTATGACAAATGCTGATAAATAATGGTGGGAAACTTGTAGAACACGTGGATACTTACAACTTGATGGACTATTATCAATTCATTATGACCCCCATGATCTCCGAACATCGTTGTATTTTATTAGATCCATATGGATTTTAGCCATCATGGTTTTTGAACGTCATAGCGCCACCTCCAGTGCGATTGTGGGTCTGTTGATGGTACGTGAACTGAAAGTGAATGCCAGCTACAATTGCTGCGGGCTACTGATGCTGGGGACGGAGACGAAAATCTGGGGCCATATCAATAAAACCTCTCTCAACTAGAATGCACAGCACTTGAAAAATTCTTTCGCACGAAGCAAGTTGATTCTATCAACTGACGAGTAGATTGGCAGATTTTCCTACCATGTTCCATGTGCATTTATGTACATTTACACCTAATCAGTTACTAAAGAATGGATGGATTTGTGTTTAGCAAATTGAGATGGACCTTTCTCCTACGTAAATAATACTTTATAAAAAGATCACCAATACAAATTTTGTCCTGTCTGTTGCGGACTCTTACACCAATTAAACTGCTTCGGGTCAGAGTATGGATCACCATTAGGAAGTTAAACACAATACGTTATAGCCTATTTTCAATTTACATATGTCAGCACCTTCTTGGAGGATTCTTAAGGGCGGTCTACAGTTCATGAAGAAATATTACAAAAGTCACACAGTTTTCAGTCACTGAAAACTACTCTGATTAAGTATGACTGAATTTCTAAATTAAACTGTTAAAACATTGTAAGAAGTAAAGGAGAGCTATCCTTGTAACAGGCCATGAAGGCCCATAGGGTTGTGAGACGTTGAGGCTCCCACATTATCTAGACAATCGGCTTAAAGATGGCGGTAGGTTTGTCAGCCTTACGCGCCGGCCGCGCTTTACTCCCCAGGAAAATTGTTTAATTAATTCCTGGTACTCATTTCTGTTAGAGGCTGAGTCGATCCCAGGGCCATAGTGCGGCTGGAAGGATAAGGTAAATTGGGAAAAAATCCAATGAGCTCATCGGGAACCCGCGACATTCCAGCTCGTAGCATAGTGCCTCAACCCGTGCCCCCGTTAACACACCGTAACAGATTAAAATTCACGCAGGTTTTAAATTAAATAAAATATAGTACTTACTTACTTACTTACTTACTCATGGAGCTGAGCCTTCTGGAGGAGCCGCCAATTCTGCAGCTACTCAAGATAGTCCCAGCATTTTATGGAACCCGAAGGTTCATTACCGTGTTCACAAGAGCCCTCCACTGGTCCCTATCCTGAGCCAGATCAATCTCGTCCATACCATCCCATCTTATCTCTCTAAGATCCATTTTAATATTATCCACCCACCTACGCCTTGGTCTTCCCAGTGGTCTCTTTCCTTCTGGCTTTCCAACCAATATCCTATACGCATTCCTCGTCTCCCTCGTCCGTGCTACATGCCTTGCCAACCTCATCCTCCTTGACTTGATTATTCTAATTGTCCTTGCAGAAGAGTACACGTTAAGAAGCTCCTCATTATGCAGTTTTCTCCAACCTCCTGTCACTTCATCTTTCTTTGGTCGAAATATTCTCAACACCCTGTTCTCAAACACCCTCAGTCTATGTTCCTCCCTTAATATCAGAGAAGTTTCACACCCATACAGAACCACGGGCAAAATTATAGTTTTGTATATTCTAATTTTCATGTTAAAATTCTCTTTGCATTTGTTCACTGTTCTCGCGTCTTTTATGATGACGTATATCCAGGTACAGATGCATAATTCAAATGTAACAGTGAGATGAACTGTAACAGTTTCATGTTACCATAGCAAAGAGCTGCCGAACCTTAACACATTGCATGAGCGTAAGTTATGTAGTAGTAAGGACGCTTACGTCCAAATATATCGCGTCTATTCTGTGAGTACTGACAATATTGTGCTGTGGATATATGAACTGTGGGTAGGTAGTAGCTATAATGCAATGTGACTTAGTTTGTGAAGGTTGAAAACTTTCTCTCGTTTCGAAAACATTCACATAGAAGAAGTCCGTGTAGACCAGTTCTGTAGGTTCGTGCCGAGAACGGTTCCCTGGAACCACCAAAGTAACCAAAGTGGACACCTGATAGGTCTGTGTATTACAATTGTTTGAATTCATATCCCCACGAAAAGCAGAAGACATGTTTGAGTAAACGCTATCCGTATATTTCTCCCGTTAATTTAAAGTTTATTCAGCAACAAAATAATAATATTTTTTATTTAGTTGTATGCCCAATGCCATTAGTCACTGCGGTAGTTGGTCTCGCTATGAAATAAACAGGAATATATCAGATATTACTTGAAATTCCTTCGCAGAAGCTCCACGTAGAATGGAGTCTACACTCGCTTTTAACGTTTTCGTTGGTCCTGCTAAGAACTTTTGCATTGATATGGTTGTCATCATTCCTATCCGAGAGTAAAAATACCTTGTTGATGGAAAGTGTGAAATCAGTTATAGTTACTCTTCCTCTAAATTTCCTTAATCAGTGATGGTTTTCCCATATATTGACTATAATAAACCATGTTAGAGCCTAAATATTGATGAACCAAATTGTCTTCTATTATAAAAACCTCTACAGTTTAATCTTTGTTATAAATAATTCCTTTCTGAGCTCTATTCATATAATTTTCATAAGGAGTGGCTTTCTCTGGAATCAGCCTATAACACAGAAGATTCCTGCAATCATACTTTCAGCGTTTCGTCGATTTCGACGGGTCTTTGTCTGGTATAATATAAAAATTTGTACTTTTCAATCCATAGAATGCATTGTTATGTAGTGTAGTATAAAACAGGATGCCAGAGTTCAAGATCTCGTAAATATTCTCAGTTATGTGAGCAGCATTTTATTATTAAACGGAAATTCCATAACAGCTATTTACATTTACATTCTAGAAATTTCTGAGCGCTATAATATTATAACAAAAATTTCATTCAGGAATTCTGCTTTCTAGGCGTAACGTAGTTGTGAAATTTTCGAATCCATACAGGGCTGTAGGAGACGACATTCGGCTGTACAGCTTCAGTTCCTTCCGGCGATTAACG